GGTTAAATTTAGTAGGAATAACACAACCTGTGACGTAGGCTATAGTATACCCAATTGGCATAATTATAAACTATTTAACAGGATATAATAGTTTAAATTATATCCTCTTAAATATTTTACAATTTAAACTATTTAAAGAATTTTGTGTTAGAAAAAAAAACAGAGAAAATTATTGAGTTACTTATATTACATACATAGTATTTAGTTAGTTACATTACATACCTCATGTTTTGCTGTTTGTTTTTTCAATTCTTTTCAAAATTAAAGCAAAAAAAAAAAAATATAGTACATTGAGCTAAAAGAATGTAACTTTTTAAAAGCAATTTTTGAGCGAATGATCAAACTATGATCAAAATGATATAAGGATTACCCCAAGAGAAAAAATGAAATTGGGTATTAAAGTTAGTAATACATCAGTTCCAATATCCATTGTATAACTGATTAATCGATTCACACGAAAGAGAATGTAAAGTCGAGCTCAGAAAGAAACTTTCAGTTCAGAACAACGCGTGATAGTACAATGTTTATTAGAAGATTTTTGCACTATGATTATTACTCGTGTCACACAAAGTGCCACAGAGATGTAACAAATGGTAAATTTTCAATACACAGCCGCAATGGATACATAGGAGATCATGGCGTTTGCTATTGCTGGATCCTTGCAGATCTGATATTGATGTAAGCATTATTGATGTATTGATGTATGTAGTATTGATTCACAGAAGTTTTTACACCACTAGTTCGCAATCTGTTGACTTAACGTTCTCCATGGACAGTAAAATATTTGTTGACAAATATCCTCATTATGATCCCCTTCTAATGGTGAAAAAATTATTGTTGGGTGTTGTTCTGTTCTGAACGCCTTCATCTTAGTGCAATTTTACATTCACTTTAAATGCTATCCTGCGAACTAGTCAATCATTTAAACACAATCTGTGGTGTACTCCTCATTTCTTAATTTATAATCCTGACTGGTGCTGTTACAATCGCTACAGTATATCTTATCCTATCACGATTGCCTAGTTTTTATTTGAACACACATTAATGATTCGAATGGAAGACTTTAATTACATCAATTAGTTTGTGTTATAAATGAATTAAGTTACAAAATCAAAGACAGAAACTTATTTTCCCAAATAAACATACTCGTATTTGAAATATTTGGAATTTTCACTATCGAAAGCACATATTCTGTAGCAGCAATTTGGAAAAAGTGTAATTTATTTTTTTTTAAAATTAACCAGCGATTGAAAGTTTGGTCCCCTGTATTGCTACTTATATTTTTGTTTTTCAACCGATCAGGTGGCAGAGTGGTTAGCCTGCCTGACTGCGGAGCCGATGGTTGCGGGTTCGAGTTCCGCTCAGGGCATGGATGTTTCTTTCTCTCTGTGTTCTATGTCCTTTGTGTGAATGTGACCCGTCCTATAAACGGGTTTGTGGTTGTGTGACGTGGGTGACGGTGCTCCACCGACTTAGCTTCGCCACAGGTGCCCACTGGGTAACGAGAAGAGAGTAGCAGTTCTGGCACTCCTGGTCAATGGGACAATACATCCCAAGTGCCCGCGATTAAAAAAAAAATTTTTTTTTGTTTTTTATAAAATATCAAGATATGATTACGCGAACTCAACAATTGTCGTACTGATTTCTTTTATTTGAGTAAATAACTTCATATTAGTAAACAAGGCAAAATATTTAAAAAGAAAAATTAACATTGAAGAAAAGAATCTTTTTAATTAATGATTTAGTCATACTTTCTAATTTGTAACTATTCACTAAAAAAAAATTATGCTTTTCAGAGAAAGTACGGTGTTTAATTTCGTAACCTAATTTATAAAGAACTAATGAGCATATTCAAGGTATTTCTTTTCAACCATTAAAATTGAATTTTCGATCCTAAAAATCAGACAATTAAGTTAAAAATAATTCAGTCTTTTTTTTTTCCACGTACTGTTTACAGTAGGATACGATTCGACATTTTTCTAAAAATAGATATTTCATGATTTTCTTAAGGCTTAAAGCGAAACGAAATTATTACAGAAATTTGACTTTTTGGACGAGTTGAATAGCAACAAATGACAAGTGGACGAAGCAACTCGTTTGTACTCGAACTGTAACTTTTTATAAAATTGTAACTTCTATGAAATTGAATTTCTTAACCTTACCCCTTCTATTCAGTAACAGTTTAGTGATTTCTACTTTATTTTATTATATCTATATTATAGATAATCTTACTTTATAGCGCGATGATTTTTAATTACCTCGATTTTTAGAGTTTTTTGTACTTCTGCCTTAAAATTATTTGTTTTCTTTTTCAAAGTTTAAAATAGGAATAAATTAAATAAGAAATAAAAAACATTAAGCTTAGTAGTTTGGTTTTTAAAAAAATTGAAATTACATCTTTCGAACAATGTTTTAGAACATCTTGAACAAAAGATCAAATTGCTACGCTACTTTTAGATGTGCCCAAATTATACGGCAAGACGTCAGAACAATTTTAGAAAAAAGAATACTAAAAAATGAAAGTGTATAATCATATTATTGTTATATCAAATATAATCTATAAAATCGGATGCATTTAAAAAAACAATTACCTCAATTATATAATTGTAAGCATTATTTATCTTGATATAAAATACATTCCTGCCAACCGCAATGCATTTATAGTATAATTATTTTTGTTTCGATCTGAAATCAAGTGACGGTTAATTTTTATTCAACTCCTAGAAGATGTCCTCATAGTTTAAGATCAAATGTCCTCAGCACTATCTTTCAAATAAATTTCTTTCTTATATCACTAAAAAATGGTGCAAATATACCCTCTAGAATCCCTACTATTCCCCAATGAAAGGAACTGATTTCGCCATCTGATGTTGGCGAAAAAAGTGGCCATGCTTTATCCTATGATTTTTATTTTGATATACTGATTTACTTGTTTTTCGATATTAAGTAAAGCAGAAAATCGTTTTCTTTAATTTTTCTCTTTTTTTACTTTCCACTTTTCGAAGATATTTTTTCTTCTGCACTTTTCAATTCAAAACATTTCCAAAAATAAATTGATTAACGTAATTATAATAAATAGATGGCAGGGATAGCCTGGTCAGTACGGCGCTGGGCTCATGTTCGAGAGTTCGTGGGTTCGAACGCCGATGGCCGAAGACTCCCCGTGTAGTAAATGGTGACTGATGCACGTTAAATCTGTCAAGTCGCAAAGTCCCCCATGTTCCCATAACAAATCAATACCTCTAGGGGTACTGGGTTGGAGATCGATTGCTTTTTGATCCTGGTCAAAAATTACGATCAGTGGATGAATGGATGTATGAATGGGTCCGCCCTATAAACAGGTGTGTGGCTGAAGACGAATTCTTGGCCATAGATGGCGTCACTGAAACACAAGAAACGCACCCTCTGATTTAAATTTGTTTGGTTTCACCAAGCAGGCTTGCTAGTGTGGCAAGTTACATTAGAAACAACAGCAACAACATAATGAATAGATAGAAAATAATAAGTAAATATAATATAAAACAGATTTAAGAATATAATGCAAAACTGAAAATAATTTTTAAAAAAATTACGAATTTCAAGCTCCGACTTTGAAGATGGCTACCATGATTCAGTTCATCTTTTTCTATTGGCGTGTTGGAGGAAGAATTACCATTGAATGCTTCGAAATGATGAAAGTATCTATCACAAAATGTAGCACCATGTTAATATCATAAAGAGACTATTACTCAAACAATGAAAATAAAATATATTAATTACGTAAAAATAAAATCCAAATTACAGATTTCACTAATCTGTTACAACATACGTTTTATCAGGCGAGACGTCATCAGCTGAATGCATGAGTCTTTTTGCAGCGTCATTTTCTGTCGGAAAAAATGAAAGACTTTTATCAGTGGCCATTATGAATTATATATATTTTTATAAGTATAAAAATTGTACGATTATTTTGTAACAACAAGGCAGTTTTTCGAAGGCTCTGTCATCATCAAGTCTTTTTGAGAATAATACGTTATTTTCATTATTGCTAAGAGTTTCCATTTTAATATATATATTGTAATATACATTGTAATATAAAATTTATGAAAATATTATTATTATAAATATTTATATAATAATATTATAAATATTTATAATATTTATAAATGTTTATAATAATTACAGATATTCGAACATTGAGAGACGAACGCTCTCGATCTCCTGAGCAATCACATCACAATAATATGTACTCTTTAGAAATAATGAAAAAGAAAAATCAAATTGTGGATGACTTTTACAGAATGTTATATTGAATACAAAGGGTTCTGTTGTCAGCACGTTTAATACATTTATTATAATTTTTCTCTACTATGCGGTCTGTGCATTGTGGATCCTTATATATATATATATATAATTATTATGACCACCCCTTCAGTACGCGGTTGGGCCACCTTTTTCGCGTATTACTGCCTTAATTCGTCTGAGCATGGATTCTAGGAGATGTTGGAGAATACCTCAATAGTTAAACCAGTGGTCAAAAAAGTATTCAAAAATAAAAACCTCATTGAAATCAAATTCCATAACCAAAAGGATAAGGATAAATTGACATCATCCATTCAAAACAAAATTTATTTTCGAGATAAAGTTCAAAGACTTACATCACTCATAATTCTAAATGCTCCAGCTCAATTTGAAGGGGAGGATATAGCTACCATACTACAGCAGAACAGCTACTCATCGAACGACGACAACGTTATAAAGTATCTTAAATCAATTCCACACAAAAAATGCGAGGACAAAAAACACATCGTAGTAAATGTATCGCATAGACTAGCTACCCATCTTCTGAAAAAAAAACACATCTTCATTGGACTTAACAAGTGTATCATCAAAAAACGCATAGTTCTCAGACGGTGCCAGTGGTGTCAAGGCCTGGATCACCATACGAACCAGTGCACGGCTGATTCTGCAACATGCGCAAAATGCGGCGGAAATCATCACACCCATGAATGCAATTGCGATGAGTGCTATTGCATTAACTGTTGGCACTCGAACACGCATAATGGTACCAACTACAACCCTAATCATTCAGCCTTCGTCTCTGACTGTCCAACAAATACTACATTCGCTAAGAATGAAATTCATCGACAGCTAGATACATTTACAATATAAATGTTTCCCTACAAAATTTCGATCTTCATGAAACTTTAGAAAAAAAAAAAACTTTTTTCCATAACTTTTTAGACTTTTGAAAAACCTTTAAATTTTCTTTTCTCTTTTTTTTTAGTATTCTTCAAAATTTGACACAACGAAAATTTAAAAAAAGGAAAAATTACGTTTCTTCTTGTCAACAACTACATATGCTGTTTTTCATATCCATTTGCTGTTTGCTGTTCACCTATATGTACTGGTGTACTCACTATTGTTCTTGCTTTATTTGTTGTTTCCTTTTTTTTATTTATTTATTTATTTATTTTTTTATTAACTAATGTGATACGCATTATTGTCATCTGCATTACGCAATTGTGCTTTGTAATCGTGGTGCAGTTATGAATTTTGTAATTGTTTGCTTATGTGCTGTGTATTGTGCGAGCTAGACTGTCGGCCAGACGTGGACTATACGGTTAAGGGTTTTGCAAACCTAGGTACGTGTCCACGTCTGGAAGAAAAGAAAAAAAA